CGCGTGCGCCCCGAGGACGCCGTGTCCCCGCCCACGAGGCCCTTCCCGGGTCACGACCCGGGCTACGTGCGCCAGGCGCCCAGCAGGTTCGGAGGGGGTGGCCCGCGGGTGCGGGGCACGGAGGCGGCCGGGTCGTACCACCGCGCGGCGGGGAGAGGAGCAGCTCCCGGCCCGCCCCGCCGCCCCACGCCCAGCCCGGAAGCCCCGCGAGCCCGGGCCGTACCACCGCGCGGCGGGAGGAGCCCACCTCGGGCCGTACCATCCTCCGGCTGGGGGACGCGCCCGGCCCCGCCGCGCCCTCGTGGCCGGCGCCCCGCAGGCCCCGCCCGGCAGGTGCCGCCCCTCCCCGGGCCGACGTGCAGAAAAGAACGCGCCGGCCTCGCCCGCGGAGGGCCGCGCGGCGGCGGGCGGGGCGTCGCGAACCCCCCTCACGCCCACTGGCTGCGTTGCGGCAGGGCGGGCCAGGCTCGGCCGGCCATTGGCTGTGGGGGCGGGTCATTTGCATACGGGGCGGGGCGTGGGCGGTGGGGACCCGGCCGGGGCGGGGCGGGGCGGGCCGGGGGCGCGAGGGTGCCCCGGGCCGCGGCCGAAGTTGGGCCCAGAGCCGGCGGCCGCCCCTCGCCGGGGTCGCAGGTGACGCGCGAGGAATTCCAGGTTGGCGGGCGGGGCGCACCTCCGAGGCCGCCCTCCCGCGGGGTCGCGGGGGTCGGGCTGGGCAGGGGCGGCGGGGCTCGGACACCCAAGTTGGAGGGGACGGGGGTGGGGGTCGATTCCTCCGCCCGCGCACCCGGCCGTCCCTCCAGACGCAGGGCAGCCCCTGCCCACCGCACACTGCGCTGCTCCAGACCCACTGTGCGTGTGACAGCGGCTGATCTGTGCCTGGGCAGCGCGACCCTCCTGGCCCCGTGACCTGGGTCTGGCGGGCAGGCGAGCGGGCACACGGGGACTAGAGGGCAGCCGGACACTGGGGGGGGTGCCCCCGTGGGCAGGGGGTGCCTGTCTGCCCAGCAGGGCGGCGGGTGGGGGGCAGCGGAGTCGTTCGGGGGCTGTGCTGCCCTCCGCTTGCTGGGGCCGAGGCTGGGCCAGACACTCCCTTGGAGGGAACTTTCTTTTCCTTGTGTGTCCAGGGTGCCGGTCTGCGGAGTTCCTGTAGCCAAGTCGAAGGTGGCCCTGGGCAGGCACGGGTGTTATGGTCTTATCTACAGCCAACAGGGCCATCCTCTGGGGACTTCCTACGGGAAGAGAGTGACGGATTTGGCGCTTCTGTGTTTCTGCGGCTTCAGTGAGGCCACTGCGGGAGTCGGCGCGGTGGGCCTGTGTTGGGGCCCGGGACGTGCCTCTCCAGCTGCCTGTCTGCGGGGCTTGCCTTCTCAAGACCACTATGAAAATCAGGGCCAGGGTGTGTCCCGAGCCTACAGGCCCTGTCCCCTCTCCCCGTGTCTGCGGGGGTTGAGGGCTGCACCCAGCTCGCTGGAGAGCGACAGGCAGATTTAGTGGACGCCTGTCGTGGACTGGGACTGGCCTTTGGAAGCACCCTGTCCTGATGGGGTTGCCTGTCACCACTGTGGACTGAGGCTTGGCAGAATCTGCAGGTGGGGAAGGCTGTATGTGGCCTTGGGGTGTAACCTGCAGAGCTGACTTCCTGCCGGATAGGGACTTTCTGTGAGGCACCCCCCGCGAACCGGGGTCCTCGGCCAGCCCTACAGAGCACTTCTGTGCTGGGGTCAGGTAGGAAGTCTGGGCCAGTAGGGCTCCAGCACAGTCCCTCAATTCGGCCTGGCTCTGCCTCTGCCCATGTTACACCAGGTGGGATGCCACCCTGCATCGCCTGGGGGTTGGCTTGGCTTGGGCCTGCCCTGCGGTGGAACTGGATATTTTCACGGAGCCTAGCCTTTCCACACGCCAGCACAGCGCACAACATAGTTTTTAAAGTGCAGTTTAAAACTCAGAAGTAAACTTTTCAGCCACTCAGAGGTTTGCCTAGTGATCTGAAACGCTCTGGCCACTTTTCAGGACCGTGGGACTCTGTCCACCTGAAACAGCTGTGAGAGGCCAGGCTCAGTGGCTCACACCCGGCATCCCAACACTTTGGGAGGATGAGGCAGGTGGATCACTTGAGATCAGGAGTTCGAGACCAGACTGGGCAACATGATCAAACCCTGTCTCTACTAAAATCACAAAAATTAGCCGGGCGTGGTGGTGTGCACCAGTAGTCCCAGCTACTTGGAAGGCTGAGGCAGGAGAATTGTTTGAACCTGGGAGGTGGAGGTTGCAGTGAGATGAGATTATGCCATTGCACTACAGCCTGGGTGACGAGAGAGACTCTGTCTCAAAAAAATGAAAAATTAAACAGCCGGTGAGGAGGAAGTCTCCACACCATCCCCACCCCTCCAGAACCCAGCGGGTGCCGGGACGCCGTCTTGGTGGGGAAGAAGGCTGGTTAGCTTCATCAGAGCTAGCAGTAGCAGAGCAGGCACAGGCACCCAGGCGGTGGCTTCAGAAGAACAGGTGTTCCTTGAAAACAGACACAGGAATAGCACAGCGTGTGCTCTGCCAGCCCCATGTCTGTTTCCTATTGAGGGGCTGGGGCGAGTAGGGCAGAGCCCATGACCCCAGGAGGACGTGGGGGTGGGCTCTGGATGGCACCTGGCACTGCCCCCTGCTGGCCTGTGTGCTTCTGGAAGATGACCCCATGACGCGTCAGAGGGCTGTTCACAGGTACAACCGCCCTTTGGAGTGTGGGTGGGGACTGTGGATGGAAGAGTCAGCCCTCAGGCCCGAGGCCAGCGGCCCGGGCACAACCCACTTGGCCTCTGCATTCCATGCTCCACCCCATGTGACCCTGGGCTTAGCCCTGTCTGGGGTCACGGGTTAGGCAGGTCCAGGCCCCCGAGGACCTCCCAGGGATGGGCAGCTGTGAGCCAGGCAGCAGGCTGAGGCCAGAGTGCAGACAGGAGCGAGGTCAGGTGGGGGTTCCAGCTTGCTGACACTGGCGCCGGGAGAGTCACCACCTCTGCTGCCTGGCCTCACCGCATTTGGTTCCCTGCCACAGGCTGGAAATAGCCAAGTCCCCTCTACGCAGCAGGGAGCTGGTGGCCCTGGCCTCTGGGGGGCCCTGCGGATGGCTTCCTTGCTCAAGTTCAGGACTTCCACGTTCCGTTTGTCTGCCCCAGGGACAGGGGGCAGCACCAGATGCAGGGCCACCCAAGAGAAAGCTGAGTCCATCCCAAACTCCTCCACCCTCAAAGCACAAAGACCCCATGATCTAGGGCAAGCTTGTCCAACTGTCGCCTGTGAGACGGCTCTGAAAGCAGCCCAACACAAATCTGTAAATTTTCTTTTTCTTTTTTTTAAAAAAAGACAGGGTTTCACCATGTTGGTCAGGCTGGTCTTGAACTCCCGACCTCAGGTGATCCGTGATCCGCCCGCCTTGGCCTCCAAAGTAAATTTTATTTTGTTGAGACGGGAGTTTCTCACTGTCAACCAGGCTGGAGTGCAGTGATGTGATCTTGGCTCACTGCAACCTCTGTCTCCCTGGCTCCAGCAGTTCTCCTGGCTCAGCCTCCTGAGTAGCTGGGATTACAGGCATGCACCACCACACCCAGCTAATTTTTGTATTTTTTAGTAGAGACGGGGTTTCACTATATTGGCCAGGCTGGTCTCGAACTCTTGACCTTGTGAGTTACCTGCCTTACCTCCCAAAGTGCTGGGATTACAGGCATAAGCTACTGTGCCTGGACACGAATTTTTTTAATAGCTTATCAGCTATCGTTAGTGTATTCTTTGTGTGGCCCAAAACAATTCTTCCAATGTGACCTAGGGAAGCCAAAGTCCTGGACACCGGTCACCTCCAACACCACGCATGGCTGTACCCAGCTGTACGGGTCCGCCACATTCTGCACACCACAAAAAGCCTCTTCTCCAACCCCAACCATGGTCCTTGGAGCTGGGAGCGTATGGTTCACCAAGGACCAGGAGAAGCAACAGGCAACCCAAGGGCCCAGGCAGGGGCTGGGTTGGAATGCGGACACTGCCCCAGTTTTTTTTTTTTTTTTTTTTTTTGGAGACAGTGTCACTGTCACTCAGGCTGGAGTGCAGTGGCTCTATCTTGGCTCACTGCAATCTCCACCTCCCAGGTTCAAGCAATTCTCCTGCCTCAGCTTCCCAAGTAGCTGGGACTACAGGCGCGCATGACCACACCTGGCTAAGTTCTTGTATTTTTAGTAGAGATGGGTTTTCACCGTGTTGGCCAGGCTGGTCTCCAACTCCTGACCTCAGGTGATCTGCCTGCCTCAGCCTCCCAAAGTGCTGGGATAATAGGCATGAGCCAGCATGCTGAGCCTTGTATTTTTGGTAGATACAGTTTCACCATGTTGGCCAGGCTGGTCTCGAACTCCTGACCTTAAGTGATCCATCTGTCTCAGCCTCCTAAAGTGCTGGGAGTACAGGTGTGAGCCAAGGCACCCGGCCCCGGCCCCGGCCCCAATTTCAAAGCTGCAGGCTCATAGCAGTTATTTTACATCCACCTAGGGAGAGGGGGCAGCCCCTGCCCACTGGTACCCATGCCCTCCCTGGGGTGGTGAAGCTGCCCGGGCCTGGCTGACCTAGGAATCTGGGACCCGCCCCCACAAGTTCTCAGTAAACCTGACAGGCGGGTCTAGCTCATCCCAGCGTCCTCAGTTCCTGCTGCTGGTGGGGCACAGGTCACGCCACGAGGAGTCAGGTGGGAGGGGGTTCAGACAAGCCCGGAACAGTCAGGCCAGGCTCAGCCAGCAGGCCTGCCAGGCTAGGGCCTTCAACAGGAGAGCCCCTGAGGGTAGGCAGATGGAATGTGGAACCCAGGAAGCTCCAGTGCTGGGCCCCACTGAGCACTGGTCCCTGAGGAACCCCATTCAAAGATGCTCCAGCTGTGGCCAGCCCCAGGTGTCTCGGGGTGCTGCTCAGTGGTACTCCATGGAGGCTCACGCTTAAGATCTCACAGACCCGGCCCAGCGCAGCCTTAGCACACACTCAAGCCACTGCGGGCAGTTTATTGAGGTTTTAGCATTGGGGTCGGGAGGTGGCACACACATGCTCTCACCATGTACACACCGTGAAGGAGCCTCCCGCAGGCAGGCACATGCCCACAGCCTGAGCACTGTCAATGAATCGCCTGTCCCCAGCAGGCAGTGGTGGCCTCTGGGGCCTGGCAAGTTCGAGCTGGCTACGCCCCATGCTTCTGCAGGGTGTCTGGCAGACCTGGTAAGGACTTGAGCAGTCCTCCCCTGCACCCCCTGCTCCTGATGCCGAGCCCAGAGCTTCTCACTGTGTGGTGCAGGAGCCCTCTGTGACCGCCAGCCTCCTTCTGCGGTCCAGGCAGGCTGGTCTCACCGCCCTCGCTGGTCTGTCCCAGAGCCTGGGGCTGGGCTGCCAGAGGATGCCGCTCTGGGGCAGGAGCTGCTGCTACCTCCAGGAGTTCTGCTTCATGGAAGCCACTGTGGGAGGACACAGGCTGAGGAGGCTGCAACCACAGGAGAGCCCCAGGCCCCAGGGGTAGGTGGGACACAGACATACCCTGGGGGCCTAGGGTAGGCACCAGCATGGGGCTCAGGGGGGGTCCCAGGGGGGACTCCTCTCTGGCTGGAGACAGAGGGCCCTGTGGGGAGGGAAGTCGGCTTGGAGTGGGGCTGGGCCAGATCCTTACTTCCCAGCCTCCCCCAGAACCACGTCGACCTGTGTGTTAGGAGAACCCCTGTCAGGCCGTGGGGGCGGCGGCAGCGCAGCCCCGGTCTGCTGGATGAATTGCTGCAGATTACACTGACGAAGCTCCCGGTTCAGCTCCTCCAGCTCCTGAGCCTGGGCCTGGGGGCACACGGGACCCTCAGGAGGCACAGCCATGGGGCTCCGTGGCCCTCGTGCCCCGGAGGGAGTGCCCTCCCTGGCTGGACCCTGTGACCCCCAAACCAGCTCGTGTCAGGGGAGGGGAAGTGACGGGAAGCAGGTCCCGGGGCTCACCTGCAGGGCTCGCTCTGCAGCCTCCAGGGCCCGGCTCACCAGGGCCAGGCTGCCCTGTACTTCCGCACTCTGCCGCTCCTGAACAGCCAGGTCCTGGCGCAGGCGCTCAGTGGCAGATGCCATGGGAGAAGGGGGCCCAGGGGCCTCCGCTGCCAGCTGCAGCTCAGCCTCCAGGGCTCGGGCCTGGGCGTCCAGGGCCTGTAGCCGGGCGGCGTGCTCAGCAGTGGCCGCACTTAGCGCCTGCAGGCGTGCCTGTCCCTCCCGCTCCCGGGCTTGCTCCCGACGCAGCTCCTGCTCCCAGAAGGCCTCGTGGCCCAGCTCCTCAGCGTTCCTCTGCACCCTGAGCTCCAGGCTCCGCAGGTCTGTGCAGCAGCCTGGTAAGGGTGTCATGGGGGCTGCAGGCCCAGTAGATGAGAGGCTGGGGGCTGGCCCGAGGGTCAGTGCTTTGCAGGGCTCACAGCCCAATGCTGCCCGTGGCTTTGCAGGGAGGCTGGCACGAATTGGGCAGCGTTCTGGGGGTGGGCAGCTGTCTGAAGAGGGCCTTCCAGCCAGGCTAGGCCCCGTGCGCCTTAGGACAAACTGGACATCGCTGGCAAACTGTCCGCAGGTGGCCTGGGCGCCCACTGGACACTCCTCTGGCAGCAGCTGCCGCTCCTTCTCTCTAAGCCGCTGCACAAGTACAAACCGGCCGGTCTGGCCTGGGGGGAAGGGGAGAAGGTCAGCCTTTGCGCCCCCCACTCTGTCTACCTGGCTTGAGGAGCTGAGAAGGACAAGCCGGTTCAGCAACCAGCCCCAGCCACCTTGGGTGAAACAGGGCTAGACCATCAGGGCCCACTTCAGCTCTTCCTGCTGGGCCAGCCTCACCCCGGAGCACTCACCTATTGCTTGGGCCAGTGCGATGACCACTTCCTGGCAGGTGGTCTGCTCGGAGACCCCACAGACCACACGCTGGATGCCGTCCACCCACACCTTCAGCTCCATGGCAGCCAGCCCCAAGAGCATCCCTGTTTTGCGGGGAAGGCGCAGGCCACAGGGTCAGGACCTGCCTACTCCTACCTCAGCCTGGTCCTCCTCCTCCTCCTCCTGGCCTGCCCTAGAAACGGCTCGGGCTGCGGCCCCTCCGTATGGGCCCCACCCTCCCGTGCCGGCCCCACCCGCCGGCCACACATTCCTGGGGTGGCCCTCCGGAGCATGCGGGCTCCCCACCTCACCAGCCTCCTCTTGCCACGCCCGCACTCCCGGAACAAGGCGAATCATTAACCAGACCCAGGATTTCCTGTCCGCCTCACCTGGCTCGGAGGGTACTGTGGCCGCCGCCATGGGAACGCCCCACCCGGACCCGCTCAGGCCGCAGCGGCGCTCGGGGTCGCGACCCAGACCTCGACCCCGCGGATCCAGCGGACTCCGGGTCTGAGCAGCCCCCGCCAACCCAGGGGGCCCCGCCGCCCAATCCCTCCGTTCGCCCCGAAGGTCCCGGTCTCCGCCGCGGGCACGGATGCCCGCGCCGCAACCCCAGCCTGGCGGGAGCCAGGGCGTCCCAGCTCCGCAGGGTGGGCGCAGGTGCCGCGACGCCCGCGCCCTCGGCCCCCTGCCCCGGCCTCTCCGAAAACGCTCCCCAGTTGGAGTCGGCGCCCGGCCGGCTCGAGGCGCGCTCCGCGCTCGGAAGGCCCCGGGACCCGGCGCGGCTCACCTGGGCGCTCGCCAGCCTCGGGACCCGCTCGGGCGCCGCCGCAACCTGCCGCCCCCAGCGCCGCGGCGCGCCCCGGCCCCGCGCCCCCATTGGCCCGCGGCCCGCACGCCCCGCCCCCAGTGCCCCTATTGGCTTCTCCGAGCGGGTGTCCCGCCCTCCAACCCTCGCCCATTGGCTGCCTCCGTCACGCCCCTCCCCGCCCCATTGGCTCGCCGCCTTGCCCCGCCCCCAGAAATTCCAGGTGTGGGCGGGCCAGAGGGCGGGGCCTAGCCGCGGTCCTCCGCGGCGGTCCCCGCCCCCACCCCCCACCCCGCGAAGGACGCGGACACGCGGCGGCTGCGGCCCCCCGAGCGGCGCGTCGGGGCAGGTGTCTGGCCCCGCTCCTGGGCGGACTTCCTTCCTCAGCAGCCTTCAAGTGTGGTGGGTTCCCGCCCAGGGAGGGTCGCCGGCCTGGGATCCCGCAAACCGCACCTGTGCCCGGGGGCAGCGAGGCCGGCACCGCCCCTCGCTTTCGGGGCCGTTCCCTGGGGGCCCCCGCAGCGGCAGTCGCCTGGACGCGCAGGGTCGCGGGGAGCAGGGTCACGAGTCCCCGGCTAGGGAGGTGCAGCCCTGGCGCGGGAGGTGCCCGCTTGGGAGAAGGCCAGGGCCTCGGCTGAGGCTCTTCCTCCCCGACACCTGCCTGTCCTTTAGGACCCAGGGCCGGGCCTCGCGCACAGCCAAGCCGGCTGGAAGCCGCTCCTGTGCCCTGCCGTCCCGGCCAGGGTCCGCAGCCTCGTGGTCCGCCATTCATTGCCTGCTCTGCCCAGCTCAGAACGAGTAGTGGGCATGGAGGGGCCTCCTGCCGGCCTGTCTGCTGTGCTCCTCTAGGGAGGCCTTACCCAGCCAACAAGTTGCAGAGATGGAGGGTGAATGAGTGAGGGCGGGGTGGAGGTGAAGGCGGCAGTGCTTGGGTCTTGTGGGTCAGGTCTGGCCTCACTTTCGTCCTAGAGGAGAGGGAATGCTTGATGCTTGTCATGATAATGACAATGCCCACAGGGGTCCCTGGGGGTGGGCCAGGGGGCATGGAGATGGCTGAAAAAGGTGAGGCTTCCAGCTTGGGGGTGAGTGGTGGTCATTGAGGTCGAAGGGGCTGTGGGCCGGGCCTGGCGGTGCAGGCAGGGGCCTGTCCTCCCAGTAACTCAGGAGGCAGAAGTGGGAGAATCACTTGAGCCCAGGAATTCGAGGTTACCATGAGCTGGGTCACACCAAGGCGCTCCAACAGCCTGGGCAACAAAGCAAGACCCTGTCTCTAAAAAATTATTAATTTAAAAAGACGCTGTGGGCAGGGGCGTACTACTGCAAATTTAGCCCTCACCAGTCCCCAGCTTGTCACTGTTACCCATCTGCTTCCTGTCCCCCACACACCCATGGCTATGCTGGCCTGGCTCACAGGCAGCAACGCCCCTATACCTGTCATGCTGCTGACCAGGCTGGGTAGGGGATGCTGGGGACTCCTTCAGGTCGAGGGTGTTGGCCACTAAGTGGTTTCCCCCCACCCCAAGCTGAGCAGTGACTCAGTCTCTCACACCTCTTTCAGGCTGGGCTGGCTCAGAACTCACCCAGGGGCCTGGTCTGGGGTCTCCCTGGAGGCTCCAGGTAACAAACAGCCCCTCCCCTTCTGGGTGCTGGTATCCAGGGAAACGGTACACAGCCCTTTCCTCCCAGGCCTGCTTGGAGCTCTGGCCTCAGGTGAGTGCTGGGGATGGGGTCCTGAGCTGGGGAGACGAGAGAGAAAGAGAAGGACACCGCATCACAGGCAAAGGTCAGGAACACACAGGTGTGGACACCCATTTGGGGGGCTCCTCAGCCACGCTCCGTGAGCGCTGTTGCCGCTGGCCGGCTCCAACCTGTGTGGCCACACAAGCACACTTGCCCCCCCCACTCCTCCCAGCTCCCGAACATCACGAATGGCCCCTAAGTCTGGCCCCGGGGCTGAAGAAGCCGAGGAGGAAGCTCTCTCGTGCCCCGCAGACCGAGAGTCGGTCAGTGGTCACCTGGGACCTCCAGCGGGCACACCTGCAGCCTCTGCGACTCCCACAAGCCTGCCGGACCCCACGCCCCACTCCTCCCGGGTGGCCTGCTCTGCCGACCCGCAGTAAGGAGGAGAGGGAGTAGTGGTGAGGCTCCTGGGCCAGATGGCCTGGGCCCAGCCCGAGCAAGCAGCAGGGGCACTGTTGCTGCAGGTTGGCTCCTGAGTCCCTGGATCCTCGCACGCTGCGGCTGCTGTGGGGACAGCGAGAACTAGAGATCCAGGCCTTGCGGTGGGAGGTCCAGAGCGGCCGGGACACCCGGCTCTGCCGCATCCTGCAGGAGGTTGCGGGGCTTCCGCCCAAGAGGTCTGAAGCACGGCATCCAGCCCAACCCAACCCCGCCCTGTCCTGGCCCCGACTCCTGGTTCCTGACCCCAACCCCAACCGCCGTCGGCTCCTTTCCCTCGCCCTTGGCCGCGCTGACCCTCCACCCTGACCCTAAGCTAACACGTTACAGCCTCGACCCCAGCCCTGCGCATGTGGATGGGTGCCAGACCCCTGCCCAGACCAGTGGGAGGCTGGCCGGCCCCAGCGCGGCTGTGCCGTGGGCTCTTGGGGCCAAGACGGCGGCGGTGCCCCTCCTTCACCACTGACCTGGTGTTAAGAACCCCTGCCCGAGCAGGCTGGGGGCTGCTGAGGTCACCCCTCCCCCAGGAGCTCCCACAGTCAGGAGAAGCTCCTGCAGAGCCGAGTCCAGAAGCTGACCCTGCAGCTGAAGGAACAGAAAGAGCGAGCCCAGTGGGTGAGGGGGGGCCCCCCCACAGGGAGTGGGCGGGGTCATGTGTGGGCGGGGCACAGGGAGTGGGCGGAGCACAGGGAGTGAGCGAGGGGCACGGGGTGGGCGGGGTCCTTGTGTGGGCGGGGGCACAGGGAGTGGGCGGAGCACAGGGAGTGAGCGAGAGGCACAGGGGTGGGCGTGGTCCTGGTGTGGGTGGGGGCACAGGGAGTGTGCGGAGTCCTTGTATGGGCGGGGGCACAGGGAGTGGGTGGGGTCATGTGTGGGCGGGGGCACTGGGAGTGGGCGGGGTCCTGGTGTGGGGAGCCAGGCGGGGGCTGGCCTCTCACCCACAGGCCCTCCTAGAGCAGGAGAAGGAGTACCTGGAGGAGCGGCTGCTGGAGACCACCCGCAGGCTCCAGGAAGTGGAGGCCGAGCTGCAGAACTTCCAGAAGTCCTGCCTCCTGCAGCTAGCCCGCTCCTCGTGGGTGGGTCGCATGCTGCGATCCCAGACTGGCAGTGTGGAGGTGAGCCCACCCCTCAAGCCCTGCTGCCCCAGCCGCCCTCCCCAGCCCTCACCCTCCCATCGGGTACCTCTGCTGGGGCGCCCTGGTCTGCCTGGAAGCCTGCTTGGCTCAGGCTGCCTCTGGAACTCCAGGCTCCAGCTGGGAGGAATCAGGAGGCCTCAAAGTACAGGTGAGGTCAAAGAGGAGAGGTGCTGTGGGGGAGGGTGCCACTCGCCCCAGTCCCTGCCCACTGGCCTCTGGTCCCCTCTGGCAGGTGGTGACGGCAGGGACTCTGATGGACCCAAGTGACCTCTCTGAGGACATTCAGGCCCCCACTGGGGAGGTGAGCTAGGCCTCCCACGTGTGTGCTCTGGGATCTGGAGCCCGGCGGGAGGGGACACGTGCCTCTTGTTTCCTGGCCAGGGCTTTCGGCTGGAGGACGTGGACTGGAACAGCATTGCCCACCGGTACCCCAACCTCTTCACCAACATGGAGCTTGACTCACAGCAAAAGTAACGGCACAGGCGGGGACTCCCCAGGGGCCAGAAGGGAGGGCTCACCTTGGCAGGTGAAGACGCAGGCCACTCAAGGACACTACCCCTTGGTGTCCCTGGATAAGTCCCTTAACCCTCCAATGCTCAGTCCTGTGATCTGTAGAACGGGTTGGGGTTGAAGGGGCCATCACTGTCCTGCCATGTGCTGGGGCTGGGTCCTGGGTACCGGGAGCCAACAGGGGCTCCATTCTGCGCTGCCTGCTCCCGCTGGATGGGGGCAGGGCTGGCGTCTGGAGCTGGAATGGACATCAAGCAGAGTGTGGTCCACAGGCAGCCCTGGCCCTGGCCACAGCTGGACGCAGGGAGCCCGAGGTCCCCTGGAAAGCACTCCGAGGGGCATCACAAGACCGTGAACTGGGGCTCCCTGCCCTGTCTGGGCACCAGCAGCTCAGGGGGCGCTGACTCCGACTCCAGCAGCTGCCAGCCGGGCCTGACTGACCACCTGCTGAAGGCATCAGGGCACTCGCCCCAGGGCTGGGGTGCTTCCTCCCATCAGGCACTGGTGCAGGCCCGGAGCTCCGGAAGAGGATCAGAAGGTGCAGTGGGGCGGGGCTCCCTGTTACCCTAACCCACCCTCCATCCCTCAGGCCCGTGATCTCATCCAGAGTCCTGAAGGAGGTCCTCCAGGCCCCAAGGTACAGCCGCTCTTCCTGCCCCTCTGACCTGCTACCCGCTCCCCCAGGCACTGCAGGCCTGGTCTGGCCTCACAGGGTACATCTCGTTGGGTACGCCATTCGAGAGTCCCTCTCCCCAAAAGTGCTCCTCTCTAGATTTCCAGAAAACCCGATCAACCAGGCACCCTAAGCCGGTCCCGGCGCCAGAGCTCTGCACAGACCCTGACTACCCGGGCCCCGAACACCAGCAGAGGTAAGGCGCGGCCCAGGCCTCCCGCGCTCGGCTGGAGCTGGTTTCCGGGCGGGGCGCACAGCCGTGGGGTGGACAGGCCGCCTCTCCTCACGGCGTCCCCCTCTCGCCCCAGCCCGACGCGCAGCTGCCTGAAGATCGTGGCCGTGAGCGTCCGGAAGAAGCTCGTCCGCATCCTCAATCAGTCGCAGCAGGAGACCGCCGACCTGGGCGGCGCGGTGCTGAAGCAGCTGGTGCGCGGCCGCCCCGAGCGCCTGTACCGCTTCCCGCCGGCCACGCTGCTGGCCCCGCTCCACCACGTCACGGTGCGCCCCGGCCCGCGAGCCCAGCCCGGACGGCCCGCCCGGCCGCCCCTCACCCGCCGCTCCGCGCCCTTCCAGGTCTGGGGCGAGGGACCCCGCAACGCCAAGAAGCCGCCGCGCGCGTCCTCGGGCCGGGAGCCCGACCCCTCCCACTCCGGCCGCGACTGCGTGACGCTGCTCCTGGACCCCAAGGGCGAGGTCGGTGCCGGCCCTCGGGGGGCGGCCGGGCTTCGGGTGCGGGGGTGACCGACGCGCCCCGCAGGTCCTCAGCGAGCACCGGATCCCCCACTGCGCGACTCCGGCCCCGACGGTCTTCGTCGACGGCACCGACTTGTCCATCGACAGCTTCCCGCTCCCGGAGGCGGGGCCCGGCGCCGACCCCTGCGGGCCGCCTGGAACCCTGCGCAGAGGCAGCGTGCTGCGGGAGCCCCGGGTCGGTCGCCGGAGGCCACGGTGGGGACCGCGGGTCCCCGGGACCCCGCCTCCTCTCCGCCCCTCCCGCCCCCCCAGCAAAACGGTCCCTCGGATCCCCTCGCCCGGGCGGCCCCAACTTCCCCAGGTCCCGCCCTGCCGCCCCAGTCACCAGGGCGTCCCTCAGCCCTTGCACCGCGCCAGGCGCGGAGCCCTCTAGGGCCACTTTTCCCGGGCCGGCCGCTGCCCTCACGACCCTCGCCCCCCGCCCAGGACGCGGGCCCTACAGCCGTCGAGCGCGAGCTCGGGGAAGCGCTTCCACCCGCGGGAGCCGCCCGCTCAGCACCTGCCCCCAATCCCCGGGGAGCGCGCGCCGGAGGGAGAGCGCGGCCCGCCTGACCCCACCCCTCCTCCCGCAGACAAGGAGCGCCGAGTTCGGGTGAGGCGCGTGCGGATGCGCCCCCTCCCCTCCCCTTCCCCCCTCCACGTTCCCTCCGGGTCCCCCCTTCCCCTCTCCATCCCCGCCCCGCGCAGCCCGCCTCTCAGCCCGCGCGCCCCCCAGGTGTGCCGGAAGAGCGTGGAGCGCAGCTGCCCCATGGTGGCCCTGTCGGTGCCGAGCACGGCCGAGAGCAGATACGGCTTCCGCTTCCTCAGCTTCCTGCCGTTCACCGCGGACGCCTGCCGCCGCGCCTAGGGGCCGGGACCGCAGGGACGGCGGGCGGGACGGGCGCGGGGACCAGGCAGACGGGGTCCGCTGCGTCATTTAATGAACCAACGTTGCCTACAAAGTAAACCGCATTTCTGTACACCTGAGAGTCAAAAACGATTCACTTGGTTTCCGGGGCATCCTGCCCCAGGAGGAGGGAACTGCCGCCCTGTCGCGGCGCGGGAGCCCTGCAGATCCCCCGGGGACGGGAGGCCGAGGGCGGGCAGCTGGGACCCTGGGACTCTGGGCCACAGAGGCCTAGGAGGTGGCTCTTACTCTGGGGCCGGCCGCTGTGGGGGGGAGGTGAGAGGTGGACTCGCAGCCCCTTCGGCCACACCCAACTCTAGCAGGAGCGGCCTCTGACAGGCCTGCCCCTGTGACCACCCCCCCAACCCCATGACCACGGGAAAGGCTGGCCCGAAGGAAGGGCTGGATCGGGACCCTCCCTTCCCACGCCAAACCCTGTAGGGGCCCTAAACTGGGTTCAAACCCATCCCCCATTCCCCTCCACCAAGAGGGTCCTCCCCAGGGCCCGGCATTCCCTCCACCCGCCAACGCACCCGCCCAAACATTCTGTACTCCATGAGGACAAGTCCACCCAGTGCTCCGGTGACCACATATGTGGGCAGGTCGTGGCCCCAGCACAAGCAAGCTTGGCAGTGGGGGCTACAGTAAGTGGGGCAAGGGGGTGGGGTGGGAGAGTTCGGCTGCCCTGGGGGGTCTGGCTGATGCCTCTGGTGCTGGCTTTGGGCCAGGACGTCCCTGGGTTCCAGGGCTTAGGTCTGAGGCCATTACGGCGGCCCCATCACCCAGGCCGGGCCCCCAGCTGCCCAGGGCTCGGAGCCGACGCCCCCTGAACTGCAGGTCTGTGGGCCACCTGGGGGAGCTGCTGCCAGAAGCTGGTGGCATCGGGTGCTTGGGAGGGGAAGGGGCCAGTTGACATCGCAAGTTCCTGAGGGGCTCTAGAAAGCAAACAGAGTGATGGCTGTCAGAAAGGCTGTGAGGCAAGGGGAGGCCACAGCCCACCCATGGCCCTGCAGCCCCAAGGCCATGGTCCAGGCCAGGGGTCCACAGGCAGCAGCATCCCTGCCCCTCAGGCTGCTCCACTGCACCCCACGTTCTGTGTTCCCAGCCCTGTGACCCCTGGCTTCTTGGGCAGGCCCACCTTTGCGGCAGGTAAAGCGATCCCAAGACCTGGTTCTTTCCCTGAGAGGCTGGTCCCCCGTACCCGCCTGCATAGGCACCTGCAGTCCTGGCATGCCTCTGTCCTGACCCTGGCTCAAGGCCACTGCAGCTCACCCTCCTCCTGGCTGCCCTGCCTGCCCTCCCTCCACCCCTGCAGCTCCTGGCCACTGGGTGACCAGCTGCTGACCCCTCTCTCTGCCCCTCCACAGTCACCCACCAGCAGGGCAGAGGCTTGACCTGCCCTGTTCCCTGCCCAACCCAGCCCCCTTGACCAGGCTCCCACACAGGAGGGTCAGCCTGCCAACCGTGGGGTCGCCCCTGCTTACAGTGCCCCCGCCCCGCCTGCCTGCCCACTGAGGGAGGGTCCTTTGCCTCGAAGGTGTAGTCACGCTGAAGCCAGAGTCCTTTGAAGAGGGCACTGCATGGCTTAATTCTGTGCCCGAGTACACCTGCCGTCTTCGGGGTAAAGCAGCAGCACCCTCCCTGCCTTGGTCTCCTGGGAAGGCTGCTGGCTGCCGACCCCTGGCCTGGTGCCTGTGCCCCTGAAAGCTGCCCAGTGGGCATGTTCTGCCTGCTGGCACGCTGGGTGGCTGCTTCTTTCTGTCCAGACCACTCTGACTCTTCACACCACCCTTTTTTTTTTTTTTTTTTTTTTTTTTTTGAGACAGAGTCTCCCTTTGTCACTAGGCACCAGGCTAGAGTGCAGTGGCGCGATCTCGGCTCACTGCAACCTCTACCTCCCAGGTTCAAGAGATTCTCCTGCCTCAGGCTCCCAAGTAGCTGGGACTACAGGTGCGTGCCACCACGCCCAGCTAATTTTTGTATTTTAGTAGAGATGGGGTTTCACCATGTTGGCCAGGCTGGTCTCGAGCTCTTGACCTTGTGATCCGCCCGCCTTGGCCTCCCAAAGTGCTGGGATTACAGATGTGAGCTACCGCCCGGCCCACACCACCCTTTTGTGGAACGAGGTCTCTCTTGAGTACAGCCTGGATGGCCACAAGGTCACAGGGCTTGGACCATGACTTGGGAGAGGGAGGACTTGGGTTGGCCCTCCCCAGCCCCAGAAGGGGACCTCCCTGTCACAGTCTCTCTCTGAGACCGGCTGAGGAAGGGAACCAGGCTGAATGTCCGACCTGTAGGTGTCACCGACAGAGGTGGGGTGCTGGGTCACTCCCAGGCATTGCAGACAGGCTCAGTACCTGGGGCCAGGCTCGGGGGGCTGGGGGGAGTCTTGGGCTCTGCCTGGTACACTTGCTCTTCAGGGGCCCTCCGTCGGCTCCCGGGGGCTACAGGCCCTTCCTGTTGGGACTCCAGGTGCCTATAGGGGAGGGGGTCGGGTGGGGAGAGGAGGAGGAGCTTCAGCCCTGGTCCTTCTTGGAGTTGACCCAAGTGCACGTGAGGTTCAGGGATGGACCAATGATGACTCAGCCAAGGTAGCCCCAGCCCTGACCTCCCACGAGACAGACACACACAGTAGCAGGGTCGGGGCGACACCCACCCCATGCCAAGCTCCCTCCAGGGCCTAAGCCCGGCCAAGGCCGGGAAGTCAGAGCTGTCTGCAGGGTCAAGCTCTGGGCTGGAAGTGCTGGTGGCCAGATCTCCTGGCCTGTGCTGGGACAGCTGCTCCGGGGGCTCCCTGCCCTGGGGAGGAAAAGGGACTGGTCTGGGGATTCTCCCCCTGGAATGGTGGTGGGGCAGGGCACCGTCAGGGCTGAAGCCCCAGATGCTGGTGTCCATGGGGGGCTCGGGCCCTGGAGGCTGGTCCCTGGGAGTGTACCTGGCACTGGTGCCTACGCTCCCACAGGGCTTTGGTGGGGTTCCCACACAGGACTTGGCCAGCACCTGCGGGAGACAGCATGGCTGGGCCTCGTTCGGGGCTGAGGGGCTGTAGGGTCAGCTTTCGGGTGCGTCAGTTACCATGGGTGAGGCTGCTGGTGTTATCTTCTGGGGCCAGGTCCTCAGAAAGCAGGCCGTCAGGCGGGGGGCCCCCAGGGACCAGCAGCGGAAAGGGCCAGGGCCTGGAGGTTCGGGGCCACGTCTCAGGCAGGGACAGCTCAGGGTCAAGTCTCCGGATGGGGCCTCCGTGGGGACAGTCTGCCCGAGGGTCAGAAGCAGAGGTCATCAAGGCCCAGGCCAGCTGGTCAGCCCGAGAGCCCGCCCCAGACTCTGTCCACAGACCAAGGAGCCCGACACCCATGCTTCGCGGCCAGAGGCTGGCCTCTGACGCTGCTGCCTTCTGGAGAGGCCCTCCTCTCCCACTGTGGGCTGCTCAGAGACAGTGTCCTGGACTCTGGGGACCAGATACCCCCAGGGGTCAAGGCTGGGGTGGGGCATGAGACGTGGCTGTCCGTCTCTGAGAGTCCTGGGGTGGGGGTCTCTTCCTGCGGGGAGCTGGGGCTCAGCCGTGGGTCCTCTGGGCAGTTGCCTGGGGTTATCGTACCCAGCCGGGGGAGGCTGTTGCCCTTCTTGATGGCTTCCTTCACCGCAAGCCAGTCCTGGCTCAGCCGCAGGGGGGACAGTGGGCCTGTGTGTGCGGCCGGAACTTCGTCCAGGACCTGAAGCTGGGGGATGAGCTTCCTCACTTCTGCTCTGTAGTTGTACCCCCTGGGCACCTGCGGGTGGACAGGGAGGGAGGGCAGGTCTGGGTCAGGTGGGCCCTTCAGGCCAGCTCTTTCCCAGGCTCCCTCTTCCAGACCCACTGTGGGGCAGGGCAGGGGCAGAGGTGGTGATGCTGCTCTGCTGGGGCGGGCATGGGTCACTCTTAGACCCCAGGGACTTCAGGGATGGGCTCTCACCCGCTCAGGATGCAGGACCCAAGGCTGGGGCCAGGGGTGCCCTCTGGCCCATGGAGCTGCCCTGAGCTCAGGGCTCTGGCCCACGGAGCAGTAGCCACCAGGCAGTGGTGGATGCTGACCCCAGCATGTGTCGGCATCAAGCGGTAGCTAATGAGGCCAACGCTGTGAGCTCAGGGCGAGTGTGGCCTATGCAGGGTCTGCGACTTCCCCTAGGGCCTGCACGCACCTGTGCCAGCTCTAAGCAGGGCACGCACAGGTGGCACAGGGAGGTGATGTGTGCACAGCGTGGTCTCCGGGGCCTGTGGGGCCAGACGTGGCTCTGGACAGGGCGTATACAGATGTGTGCACAGGGTGGTCTGTGGGGTCTGTTGGGCCGGGCGTGGCTCTGGACAGGGCACACACAGGTGTGTGGGTGTGTGCACATCTGTGTACATGATTCTGTGTGTTTCCGTGTGGCTTGTGTGTGGGTCTCACGGGTGCATACGTGGGTTGAGGGATGTGATGTGCTTGCCGGTGACCCTGTGGGATCTGGGAGGGCTGGCCCAGGAGGACGCCCTGGGAGCTGTCAGCCTTCTGGTGACAGAAGAGATGAACTCTTGGTGAACAGGCCACAGGGCACAGGTGGGTACAGAAGTCCCTGCCGGAGGGAGGGGCCCAGGGCTGGAGCCACAGGGAGCCTCCCATTGCCACGCACACGCTGGCCGGGTGCCCGGACACGCACCTTGTTGGCGGGGCCGGGGACTGGCTGCAGGCACACCAGGTTGCCCTCCAGGGTGAGTGTGGCCAGGCGAGGGCACAGCTGCAGGAAGCGCACCTGCCCCAGGTCCTCCACGCTGTTGCCCTCCAAGTCCAGCAGCTCCAGTTGCCCCAGCAGGCACAGCGGGCTCAGGTCCGAGATGTTGTTGTAGGATGCATAGAGTTCCTGGGCAGCGCGGGACTCTGAGCCAGGGTCCAGCCCGGCCCTCCCCAGCCCAGGGCGCCCAGACTCACCTTCAGCACTGGCAAAGCGGCGATGCCATCCAGGTCAGTGAGGCCACAGCGAGCCAGCCACAGCACCCGCAGGTGGCCCAGAGATGTGCCCAGGTCCCTGCAGAAGGCAGCGTTTGGTGGTCGACACGGTGCCCAGCACTGTGCCCAGCCACCACCAGCCTATGGCTGCCTCCAGGGCAGGGGCAGGTGTCACCTCGAATGGTGGCCTCTAGGCTGAGGAAAAGGGCCTCTGCCTTTCTCTCCTGGCTCTGGTGTGGGTACAACGTCCCCCTCCTTCTCCAAGCCCTGGAGGGCCTGGCCCGGGGAGCTGCCCTCTGTGGCGGGGGAACCCCGCAAGAGCCGAGGCAAGGGTCTGAAGCCTCAGCATGTTGTCACATAAACATAGCATTAGAGAAGAATTAGAGATACAGTTATACAGCCATTCCTATATACCCAATCATAAGTCATCACATAGGTATTCATATGTAATCATAAACATATATACGTATACGATCACATAATCTTTCATCTTACTGAGTCTTGGGTCAGGAAGCCTGGGACTGAAGTGGCATTGGAAAAGAGGTGACCCTAAGGCAAGATGCTCTAAGCCCTCTGTCCCACCCGCGCAAGGGCTGCCGGAGGACGTCCGGCTGTGCCACGGTGCCTGCGCTGGGAGAGCGCCCGCTGTTTAGCCAGCCAGGGAAGGAGACGTCTCCGTCCGGGGGAGTGAGGAGGAAATGCCGCTGCTGCAGGCTCTGGGGGTGGGCCCGGCGGCTGTGGGGGACTCGCGCGGACATCCAGGGACTTTATGGTCTCTCTGTGGCGCTGGGCCTTGGTGGTCTCGCTCCAGGGCTACTTTCAAATTCTGCCTCTGCAGCTGGTTCCTCTTTTCCTCCGAAGGTAAGAATCAGGAATAGTAACGTAAACCTTAGCCATCTTTTTCTTTCTTTTTTTTGTGGCGGGGACAGAGTTTCGCTCTTGTTGCCCAGGCTGGCGTGCAATGGCGCGATCTCGGCTCACCACAACCTCCGCCTCCTGGGTTCAGGCAATTCTCCTGCCTCAGCCTCCTGAGTAGCTGGGATTACAGGCACGCGCCACCATGCCCAGGTAGTTTTTTGTATTTTTAGTAGAGACGGGGTTTCACCATGTTGACCAGGACGGTCTCGATCTCTTGACTTTGTGATCCACGCGCCTCGGCCTCCCAAAGTGCTGGGATGACAGGCGTGAGCCGCCGCGCCCGGCCCCTGTTCTTTCTTGGCAAGTGTGAAGGAAGTGCTGATGCCCCAGGTTTTCTCCTGTCTCTTTAAAGTCCTAGACCCCCGTCTCCAAGGAACGTGATTTTCCCGACCCTGCCACTGACCCCCATGACCTTGCCCTACCTGCCCTGCCCCCTGCTTTGTGCTCCATAAAAGTCGGAGCATCCGGGCACTTGGGCCGCTGCCGGACTCCGCGCTTTCGTGGGCAGTGGACCCCGGGCCCAGACTCTGTTTTCTCTTTCTCGGTGTCTTGTGTCTTTTATTTCCACAGTTTCTCGTCTCCACACCTGTAGAGAGGGACTCACGGGACCCTGCAGGGCTGGACCCTGCAGCCTCACGGCGGGTGGCTCAGCCACGCCCCACCTGCTGCCTTGGCTGCCCTTCCCCAGCAGGTTGCAGGCATCACAAGGTCTCTCTCTCTCTGATGATCCCCTCAGTAGCTTTGGGGGCACTCAAATTCGGAGTAAGGGTCTGGAAAGCTGCCTGGGAGCCTGAGCCCCTGGACGCTGAGGTGGAAGGGCTTTGCTGGGGGCTGACCCAGTGCTGAGCTGGCAGGTTTGGTGGGGAGCAGCTGCTGGAGCTGGCGTGGGTCAGGGCAGCTCGTCGTGTGCGGGGACACGTTGTTTCCAGCCCGGCCCCACGGTCTCTGTCCACTCTGTCCCCCACTGCAGCCTCACTGATTTCAACCACGCGCTGTCCCGGGACCCTGTGCCTGCCGCTTTCTGCGCATCCATGCTGTCTCCGAACACCTCCTTGTGAAACCGTCGGGCAAGCTCCCAGGCTGTCCCCCACTGCGGCCAGATTCCTCCAGGGCTGGGCGGTTCCTTGCAATGCTCTCCACCCGGCTGTCTTCCTGCCCGTGGCTTTCACTTCCTTCTGTGGCCCGCCGGGTGCACTCCCTATGGTCTGTCCACCTTCCGAGCGTGGAGTCAACATCTATCCTCAGCCTGCTGCCTTACGTGGCTTTCCCACTCGGCTCTTAATCGGCTGGGATTTGTGTCTAGTGATTTATTCAAGAGAGGTTAATGGAAACTCCTTGATCTCTGACTCACTCCCAGACGGCTTCTGGCTGGGAGCTTCTGCAGCCATTAGGCTGCGAATCGCAGCATCGTCCCAGGAGGCTGCTGAGGCTTTTGTTCCGGTGTCCACTGTGGGGACGTCTGAGCAGCACTACGTTTTTTCTGTCCTTAAAAAACAACCTGCCGGGTGCAGTGGCTCACGCCTGTAATCCCAGCACTTTGGGAGGCTGAAGTGGGTGGATCACCTGAGTTCGGGAGTTCAAGACCAGCCTGGCCAGCATGACGAAACCCTCTCTCTACTAAAAATACAAAAATTATCCAGGCGTGGTGGTGGGCGCCTGTAATCACAGCTACTTGGGAAGCTGAGGCAGGGGAACTGCTTGAACCAGGGAGGTGGAGGTTGCAGTGAGCCAAGATGGCACCACTGCACTCCAGCCTGGGTGACAGAGCAAGACTCCGTCTCAAAAAAAAAAAGAAACTTGAGGCCAGCCACAGTGGTTCATGCCCGTAATCCGGGCACTTCAGGAGGCTGAAGTGGGAGGAGCACTTGAGCCCAGGACGTGGAGGCCGCGGTCAGCCGTGGTCACGCCACTGCACTCTGGCCGGGGTGACGGAGTGAGACCCTGTCTCAAAGAAAAAAAAAAAGACAACCCCATTTCTTTTCTTGGCTGCCCCAAATTTTTGCCTTTATCTTCCAGCCGGGAACTTCATTAGGATGTGTTTCAGTGCCGACAATTCAGTTTGTTTTTCCTTTCGGTCTGTAGCTAGATGTCTTTTATTTCTGACAAGTTTCTTTGAATATATACACATTCTTTGAGACAGAGTCTCATTCCAGGCTGGAGTGCAGTGGTGCGATCTCGGCTCACTGCAACCTCCTCCTGGGTTCAGGCAGTTCTCCTGCCTCAGCCTCCCGAGTACCTGGGATTACAGGTGTGCACCACCATGCTCAGCTAATTTTTGTATTTTTAGTATAGATGGGATTTCATCATGTTGGCCAGGCTGGTCTTGAACTTCTGACTTCAGATGATCCACCTACCTCGGCCTCCCAAAGTTCTAGGATTATAGGTGTAAGCCACTGTGCCTGGCCTGATTCTTTTATTTTTATTTTTTATTTTTATAGAGGTGATGTTTTGCTATGCTGCTCTGGCTGGTCTTGAACTCTTGGACTCAAGCGATCCTGTTGCCTGGGCCTCCTGAAGTGCTGGGACTACAGGCATGAGCCAGCGTGCCCAACCTATTTATTTATGTATTTATTTTTATTTATTTATTTTTTGAGACAGAATCTTGCTCTGTCGCCCAGGATGGAGTGCAGTGGCACTATCTTAGCTCACTGTAGCCTCCACCTCTTGGGCTGAAGCAATTCTCCCATCTCATCCTCCTGAGTACCTGGGACCACAAAAGTAGCTGCCACCACCCCACCTAATTTTTAAATTTTTTTGTAGTAATGGGGTTTCACTGTGTTGCCCAGGCTGGTCTTGAACTCCTGACCTCAGGTGATCTACCCACCTCAGCCTCCCAAAGTGCTGGGATTACAGGCGTGAGCCAATGCCCGGCCCATTTCCTAGCTTTTGTAATATTGCCTGAGATTTTTTTTTTTTTTAAGAGATGGGGTTTCACCATGCTGGCCAGGCTGGTCTTGAACTCCTGACCTCATGATCCACCCATCTTGGCCTCCCAAAGTGCTGGATGACAGGCGTGAGCCACTGTGCCCGGCCGTTGCCTGAGATTTTAATTCACATTTAATAGCTGTGATCAGCTAAGTTACAATAGTGTTTCATTGGATCATCTTACCTTTTTTTTCTTTTTTTTTTTGTTCAGAGCCTTGCTCTGTCTTCCAGGCTGGAGTGCAGTGGTGCGATCTCGGCTCACTGCAACCTTTGCTTTCCAGCTTCAAGTGTTTCTCCTGCCTCAGCCTCCAGAGTAGCTGGGGTTGCAAGCGCGGGCCACCGTGCCCAGCTAGTTTTTGTATTTTTAGTAGAGATAAGGTTCCACTGTGTTGGCCAGGCTGGTCTGGAACTGGACACTGAGGCAGAAGAACTGCTTGAACCTGGGAGGCAGAGGTTGCAGTGAGCAGAGACTGCGCCACTGCACTCCAGCCTGGGTGATAGAGTGAGACTCTGCCTCAAAAAAAAAATAAAGTAAAATAAAATAAATATCTGAAGGAATTTAATAAAATACATGAAGATCTGGAAATAGAAAATACTGGAAAACACTCTGGGGGCGAAGACACAGTGGGCAGCTCACAGAACTGGGACAGAGAAGGGGCCTGGAAATGAAGCCAGGCCTGCAGCAGGCACCCCAACAGTGCCATGAACGGGTATGGGAAACAGACTTCTTGGAAGCACGCCCCCTAGCCAGGCGTGGCGGCTGACGCCTGTAATCCCAGCACTTTGGGAAACCGAGGCAGGAGGATCACTTGAGATCAGGAGTTCAAGACCAGCCCGGCCAACATGCTGAAAATCTGTCTTTACTAAAAATTCAGAAATTGGCTGGGCATGGTGGTGCCGGTAATCCCAGCTACACAGGAGGCTAAGGCACGAGAATCACGTGAACCGGGAGGTGGAGGGTGCAGTGAGCTGAAATCACACCACCGCACTCCAGCCTGGGCTACAGAGCATGAGTCTTCCTTCTCAAAAAAACAGAACAAAAACAAAGAATCTAAAAAGTGCCCCAATACAAGACGATTAGACGATTGATATTCTTTTTTTTTTTTTTTTTTTTTTTTTTGAGACAGAGTTTCACTCTTGTTACCCAGGCTGGAGTGCAATGGCGCGATCTCGGCTCCCCACAACCTCCGCCTCCTGGGTTCAGGCAATTCTCCTGCCTCAGCCTCCCTAGTAGCTGGGATTACAGGCACGTGCCACCATGCCCAGCTAATTTTTAGTATTTTTAGTAGAGACGGGATTTCACCATGTTGACCAGGATGGTCTCGATCTCCTGACCTCAGGTGATCTGCCCACCTTGGCCTCCCAAAGTGCTGGGATTACGGGCGTGAGACACTGTGCCCAGCCCACTTGATATTTGCTTCATAAACGGAGGTAAAAATAAGGAAAATCAAGAAAACATTCAAAGCGAGGTTGCGTATTTAATACCTATCCTCATCTGGAAATAACTAGATGTGGCCCTTGAAGCCCAATTCAAACAGCTGGAGAATGTTCTAGAACTCTGGAATTCTTCTGCCTTATGCTGCTGGGAACAGGCTACATAAAACCAGGAGCATTTTCACAAAATCCACTTTGCCCAAACCTCCAGAATAACGTTCCTTCCGCCTTGTTCTCTCCCTTCCGATGATGTGAGAACCACCACGTCTTCAGCTCCAAATTGTGAGTAGCTGTCAGGGCACGGAGCCTCCCGTGCTCCTCCTGGGGGCTGCCGTCTGCTCCGGGTTCCGTGGGCGCGTTCTGGCTGGAGGTTGCTGTTCTTGCCCAGACCCCAAGCTCCTGGCCTCACGATGCAGCCAGACTCCCCGGCTGCAAGGCGTGGTGCAGAGGCCAGAAGGCCCCCAGCCTTAGTAGGCTTTGGGGTGTCCACCAGGGACAGCTCACGGTGGGGGCTCTGGGCCCAGGTTAGGGGCACCATTGGGGTGTTTGCTGGCCACGCGACCTGGCATGACCACCCTGACCCTGACCCAGCTCCGAGTGCGGTGGTACCTGCAGCTGGGGCCTCCCACCCGTTAGACGCAAGACCTACAAGTGCCAGGGTCACACGGCAAGAGGGTGCATCTGGGCTGAGCCAGAGGCCACAGGGCATAGGCAGGACCCCCGGGAACCAGGCTGGCCCAGGAGTAGTCCTCTCAACAAAGACCCGCTGAGAGACCCCCTCACACCTGGGAGGGAGCCCACACCTGCCTGAATGTCCCAGGCTCCCCCCACCTGCCCATCCACCCTCCGCAGGGTCACTCGGGGTGAGGCAGCCAGCAGGATGGTGCTCTCTAGGCCCCTGGGACCCTTGTCGCAGCCCAAGGGCCCCCACTCCCACCGAGTTCTCCCCTCACTGCTGCAGGCCTGGGGTCCCCTCACGGCAGGGGCCCCGCCTGCCCCACCCAGGCGCTCACCTGAGGGAGCCCAGGTGGCTGCCATTCAGCTTCAGCTGGTCCAGGTTGGGCAGGTGCACCCCTGTAGGGCCGCAGGAGGAGGAGGTTGGCCGGGCCCTTCACCCCACCCACCTCTGTACCCTCCTGCACCCCGAGGCATCAGTGGCCCCGCCCCCTCACTACTCGTGGGCCAACCTCACAGGCCTTCCTCTCTCCACACCGAAAGAGGGTTTGTGTGGCACCCGGGAGCTGTTCCAGGGCTGTGGCTCCTCTAACGACCCAAGGGGCCTTCTGATTCCGTGGGCCTGGTCGAGGGCCTGGCCCAGCTGCCCTGAGCCCTCAAAGCCTGATGCTCCGGGGCCTCGTCTGCAGCCGGGCTGCGAGAGCCGGCTCCAAGGGTCAGCTCGGGACGGGGGCCAGGCTGGCATGGCTGGGTGGTGGTGTTCTCTTGGCCCAGAGTCTGGGCCCTGCCCTTGAGCTGCCACCAGAGCCCTCCCCTGGCATCGCAGACCATTGCACACAACCGCACACAGGACAGAGCTCGAGCCGGGCGCGGTGGCTCAAGCCTGTAATCCCAGCACTTTGGGAGGCCGAGGCAGGTGGATCACGAGGTCAAGAGATCGAGACCATCCTGGTCAACATGGTGAAACCCCGTCTCTACTAAAAATACAAAAAATTAGCTGGACATGGTGGCGCGTGCCTGTAATCCCAGCTACTCAGGAGGCTGAGGCAGGAGAATTGCCTGAACCCAGGAGGCGGAGGTTGCGGTGAGCTGAGATCGCGCCATTGCACTCCAGCCTGGGTAACAAGAGCGAAACTCTGTCTCAAAAATAAATAAATAAATAAAAGAACAGAGCTTGGGCCCAGATCCCCAGAGCACAGGGCCAGACGCCCCAGCCCGTGTCTCTGCACAGCCCAAAGCCCCAGGAAAAGGCCCTGCGTTTGGAGTCTTTTGTAGGATGGGGCGTGGCCCTGTGAGACAGAATCCCTGCCCCATGAGGAGAAGGGGTGCAGAGCAGGCCGTGGGGGGAGGCGGGACTGGGCACAGGCGCTCCAAGACCGTGCCTGGTGGGAAGGGCTGGAGCGAGTGCAGACGGCCTCGGGGGCGCAGAGTGACCACAGGGGTCAAGGAGTTCACAGGCTGCTGCAAAACCGAAAACCAGGCTGACCTGGACCTCAGCCGGAGGAGTGCGGACGGCCAGCAGCCCGGGGTGGGAAGGCATCTCCCGCTCTAAGGGTCACTGCCGGCTGGTGCCGTGGCTCACAGCCGAGGCGGGCGGATCACCTGAGGTCAGGAGTTCAAGACCAGCCTGGCTACCACGATGAAACCCCGTCTCTACTAAAAACACAACATCTAGCTGGGCGTGGTGGCGAATCCCTGTAATCCCAGCGACTCGGAAGGCTGAGGCAGAAGAATCGCTTGAATCCAAGAGGCGGAGGTTGCAGTGAGCCGAGATCGCACCATGGCTCTCCAGCCTGGGCAACAGAGCGACTCCGTCTCAAAACAAAGGGGGAAAAAAACGAAGTCACTGTTGGGGCAGCTGTTGCCATGTGATCACGGTCTTCAGCTCGGCTGAGAGTCACGTAGGGTGTTAATTCCTGACTTTGACCGTTGTGCGGCATTTAAGAGAATGTCCTCCCTCTCAGGAAACACACACTGAAGCGTCAGTAACTAAAGGGGCCTTGTATCTGCGACTCTCAACTAGATCAGAAAAAGTAAGCACCGCGGCCTGATGTGCTGTGCATGCGCGGGAGCGGGCAGGGCCCAGACGCACCGTGAACGTGGGAACACACGAACACGTGAACCTGGCGAAGGAGAAGGGACCTGGCGGGGGCAGGGAGGTTTTGTTTCCTTTGCTGCAGGATCTTGCTCTGTCCCCCAGTCCGGAGTGCAGGGGTGCAATCTCAGCTCACTGCAGCTTGACCTCCCACCTCCCGAGTAGCTGGGGCTACAGGCACCACCATGCCGCTCTCATTTTTTTTTTTTTTAATTTATTCACTTATTTTTGAGATGGAAACTCACTCTGTCGCCCAGGCTAGCAGGCAGTAGTGCGAATTTGACTCACTGCAACCTCCGCCTCCCAGGTTCGAGCAATTCTCCTGTCTCAGCCTCCCAAGTAGCTGGGATTACAGGTTCGTGCCACCACACCCTGCTATAGCTGAGATTATTTCAAGATGAGTTTCAGGAGACGCCATATGGCACTCAGCACCATATCGGCCTCTGCGCCTCTGTGATGCTGGTGTGGGTGTGTGGGGTACTAAGTGTGCTGGGGGTACTGGCATGGGTGTGCTGGGTACTGAGCATGCTGAGGGTACCGGCATGGTCGTGTGGGGTACTGAGCGTGCAGGGGGTACTGGCGTGGTCGTGTGGGGTACTGAGTGCGTTGCCCTCTGCCTGTACCTGACACAGACCTGAGGTGAGGGGCCAACCCTAAGGAAGCTGCTGTGCGGCCTGAGCTGAGAGGTGTGGACAGCTTTGTGGTCATAACCAGAAAACGCGTGTTGTTTACCGGGAGGCCTGGCCGTGGCCGTGGCTTTGGCCATGGTGGGGCATGACGGGGCTCACCAAAGTTCCCCAGGCTGCCCTCGCGGGTGTCCACACACACCTCCAGCGCCCTCACCAGCCGAAGGTCATCCACCAGGGCCAGGGCCTGCTGTAGAAACCAACCGGGGGTCAGCGCCAGTCCCGGCTCTCCCCACCCTAGTTCCATCTCTGCTTCTGGCTGATAGGACTCGGGGGGGGGCTCCCGCTGGAGCGGCACAGACGTTTCCCTGCCTCGGCCATGCTGGCCTTGGCCTGGCTGCTGGGATGAGTTGAGCAGAACCTGGCTGCACGTGGCTGGTAGGGCCGTTGCCAGGGAAGGACCTGCCCTGGGTGGGGGCGGGCACCTCCGAGGAGACTCCCAGGGCAGACACACTGCGCCCGGAGCCCAGACTCCAGATGGCACCGGGCCCTGCCCTGAGCTGTGAGCCACCTGGTCTCCTGCTCGAGGGAAGGACTCTTCTTGGTTGGAGGGCAGTGGATGCTCAGCCTCTACTTGTGGGTTCTGGCCTGGCTCCCTCCTGTCTGTGACCCAAAGGCCTGGGGATGTCTGTGTCACCGAGCACCTGGGGCCAGGCTGGGGATCCAAGGGCAGAGTGGGCAGAGCAGGCCTAGCTGTGGGGGGCTGGGCTGAGGCCAACCGTTAGCAGGAAGACCAGCAGGAGGGGGACCGAGGGCAGGCTGGACATCAGCAGAAAGGGGTCCTGGGATGTCATCCCACACAGGCCTCTGTGGCCAGCGCCCCCGTGCCTGCACTCACCAGCCGGGCAGGGGACAGGTACTCTTCTACCCGCTGCTCTCTGCGGCTGCCCTGCTGGCCGCCAGGGCCCTTGCTCTGTGGGCAGGGGTTGTGCAGGCCTTGCCAGCTCAGCTCCCGCACCCGGATGCTGGCGGTGCTGGGCCGAGACCCACGGGATCTGTCCCAGACTGGGTCCATTCCCGTGAAACCTGCTGGCAGAGGCAGAACGCAAAGCTCCAAGTTTTTGTTCCTCTTCCTCCGTAGCCCGGCTGAGACCCTGGCACAGCCCTCAGCCCCCTCCCCACCCCACACAGCGAACCCTTGGTGCCTGCCTCCATCCCGAGCCTAGAGAAGGCTACTGACTCGGCTGGGTCTCATGGGGCCCTTGTCTGCCTCGACTCAGCCTGGAGCGCCGCTCACTCCCTCCCCCGAGGCCTGCTCCAGCGGTCTGCTCCTAGGACACTCTCCCGATGTTTCCGCCCATCCTCAGGGTCCACGCAGGCAGTGCTGGCTCCAGGCCGCCCCATCTGAGGCCCACGAGGGCTGCGAGCTTGGGGGTGCCAGGCCAGCTGCCTGCCACTGTGGGGTTCCCAGGGCTGCCTCAAGCTCTGGGCTACGGGTCTTTCTCCACCTGATGGTCTCTGAGCTTGGGGTCCAGGATCAGGTCCCAGGCCTTCCCCTGCCCACCCTGTGCCCTCTGAGCCCTTTCACCTGCAGGCAGCCACCTTCTTCTGCTGTGGGTCAAACATCCGGGCAAGGAGGCGGCATGAGCCTCAGGCAGTACCTGCGAGAGTCAGGGTGGCTTCCTGGCTGGGTCACTGTGCCCAGGGGAACCTGGAATGGGCCGGGCCGAGGTTACAGCACACGCAGGTGGGCAGGCCAGTCCAGGACCTGACCATCTCCCGGCCCAGCTGCTGAGGAGGAAGAGAGTCAGGTGTGTGACTGATGCTGGTGCCTCTGGATCCCCCAACGCAAAGCCTGGTGCTCATCCCAATCCCACTTCCCTCCTCCGTGATGCTCGTGTGGGTGTGCGGGGTACTGAGCATGCTGGGGTACCAGTGGCACCCCATTCTTCCAGAGCCCCTTCCCAGGCCTTTGAGGGTGTCTGCCCGGTGTGTCCCTGGACCACCTGCACCAGGTGAGCCTGGTGTTGCCCCTTAAAGATGCAGATGTCTGCCTTGGCCCCAAGACCCTGCAATCGTGAGCTCCAGGGGTGGAGCCAGAAGTGTGCTTGGAGTGTCCGGCATCCTCCTCCCTGACTTGCTTTGTCTTCAGTCTGGACCTCCCTCCTGCAGTACCCTCCCAGCCTTCCCAGATTTATTCTCCTGAGAAGACAGATCCCCTTCGGAACCCCGTGTGTCTTACTACGCGTTGGGTTGAGGGCCTGCCTCGCCCCAGAGCTGGGTGCTTCTTTGCTGACCACAGTTGCAGGAGAGGGCGCTAAAATATCTGCAGAAGGAAGCCGTGAACAGGTGGATGCACATATAGCCACTTAGAACGTCCTGGCTTTTATCTGCTGACCTCGTGCGGACATGGAAGACGCGTCCTCTCCATCCTGTCTAGAGCTGCCCCAGTACCAGCTGCCGTGGCTGGCCGTTGACGGAGGTGGTGGGGGGAGTGCTGGAATGGGGCAGCAGCGCCGGTTCCCGTGCCTCAGTGGCCTGGCCTGGAAGGTGACCGTACAGCAAGGCTGAAAGAAGCCCACAGTAGTCTCATGGAGTTTCCAGCCAGTCTCCCCTGCTGGCTGCCTTTCCCCAGCCGGGGCAAGGCCTGAGGCCTCAGCAGGACCCCGCCACCTCCGTCCAGGCCTCCAGCCTCCAGCCTCATGGAGGGTGAGAACTGGCCGGGTGAGGCAGCCCCTGGACACCCATGGGTGGTACCGGCGGCTGGGTCAGTCACCTTCGTTTCCTCTGTGCCCGAGAGTCCCAAGTATCAGGCTGGTCTGAGCCCCAACCCCTGGGGGTGCAAGGACCAGGGGTTGGAGGCTGTGGAGTCCGAAGCCCCCCTGGACTCCCAGCTCAGACACTGCTCCTGGAGTTCTTGCCCAGGCCTGAACCGTCTATGCACTTCACGGCCCTGCTCCCACCCTGCATCCACTCTGGGAGCCCCCAGGCTCCAGACCCCAGCTAGTGCCATTCCCTGGTGGGTAGCTCATCAACTCTGGGTCCCCGGGAGCCCTGGCCCCTTCACCATGGGGGCTGTGAGGGCGGGGCCTGCTCCCCTCCTGAGCCCCACCCTGGAGCCTCCGGAGCATCCTGAGTCCTTGCCTCTGCGTCTCCCTCAGGGCAGGGCTTGGTGCCCCTCCCGTCCCCTGACAGGGAGCCCCTTCAGTGCAGCCCCAGGGGCGGGTGGGGGCCAGGGTCCCCAGAGGACCGGATCTGACGTGCGGACCATCACTGCGTCCCCGCTGGCTGTGCCGCTTCGTCCCCCGTCCAGGTCTCGGCGCGGGCTCCCCGCTAACACCGGGCGTAGAGCGAGGCCTGCGGCTCCCACCCCAAGGGTGCGCTGGGCTCTCACCTGAGGGCTCGGCCCAGGTGTCCGGCCCTGGGGGCTCGGCCCTGGCCGCCCTCCGCCGCCTCCTACTCCCGGCTGTTCCTCCGGCCGCGGGGTTGCGGCCTCGGCGCCATGGCAACGAGGGCGGGGCCTTATTTGAATACGCAAATATTTATAGGCGGGAGCCTCGCGTTCGGCGGGGTGGAGCCACGCCCCTTAGCAACGGTTGCTAGGGCGGGGCCACGCGGGCAGTTCGGCGCGGGGGCGCCCTGCAGCCCCGGGCGATCCCAGCGGGAGGGTGCCAGCCCCCTTTGGCTCCGAGCCGGGCCGTCGCGGTGCCCGTGTCGCGTGTCCTCGCCATCCCGGCGCTTCCCCCGCGGGGCCGGCAAGGCGGTCTCTGCAGGAGGCTCGCGCCCACCTTTCCCAGGGCCGCGGCCTGCCGCGCTGAGCGCCGCTTGGAAGTGAGGCCCGCCGGGGAGCGCGTCCCCAGGACCAGGACACAGGCCGGGCGCCGGAGTGCGCCCGAGTGCCCGGCTCGCGGGGGCGCCGCCTCTCGGCCGCGTCCGTGCGCGTCCGTCCCGAGCCGGGCGCTGACTGCGGCCGCGCGGGACCCCCGGGACCCCACGTGGGTGGAGCCCGGGGACAGCAGCGACCAGCGCGGGAGGGCGTGGCGGCGGGACGGGCGCTGGGCTGGGCACAGGCAGGGTTCGCGGCACCGTAAGCCGCCCGCCCTTTTTTTTTTTTTTGAGACAGTCTCGCTCTGTGGCCCAGGCTGGTGCGCAGTGGCGCGATCGCGGCTCACCGCTCCCGCCCCCGTGGTTCATGCGATTCTCCTGCCTCAGCATCCCGAGTAGCTGAGACTACAGGCATGCGCCTCCACGACCGGCTGACTTTTCGTATTTTCAGTGGAGATGGGTTTCCGCCATATCGGCCAGGCCAGTCTTGAAGTCCTGACCTCAGGTGACCCGCCCACCTCGGCCTCTCGAGTGCTGGGATTACGGGCGTGAGCACCGCGCCCGGCCCGCCTTTTTTTTTTTTTTTTTTTTTCTTTTTTTTTGAGACGGAGTTTCGCTCTTGTTACCCAGGCTGGAGTGCAATGGCGCGATCTCGGCTCACCGCAACCTCCGCCTCCTGGGTTCAGGCAATTCTCCTGCCTCAGCCTCCTGAGTAGCTGGGATTACAGGCACGTGCCACCATGCCCAGCTAATTTTTTGTATTTTTAGTAGAGACGGGGTTTCACCAGGTTGACCAGGATGGTCTTGATCTCTCGACCTCGTGATCCACCCGCCTCGGCCTCCCAAAGTGCTGGGATTACATGCTTGAGCTACCGCGCCCGGCCCCGCCTTTTGTTTTTTATTGACCATGTATTTCTGATTCCTTTGCAATTTTAAAAAATGTTAAAAACACGTCCTTTTGAGTTTGAAAGGACCTAGGATGTGCGCTTCTGTTGCTTGGGGTGAGCCCCGGGCACTTGGCTCCCCGGTGGCAATTTGTGACCCTCAAGTTTGGGGTGACTGGGCCGGCAGGGTCGCCTGCCAGCAGGCCCAAGTTAGAGGAAGGCGGTGGTGGGGCCGTTCTCGCCGTTGCGCCCACCGCCCGGAACCCCACCGGCCTGCGAGGCGTCCTCGGGGTGTGCACGGGGGAGGCGGGGAGCGCACCGTTCGGGTGCGGGGCCGCTCCAGCTGCGCGGAAGGGAAGCCGGGCAACCGGAGCGCGCGGCCACCCGGGGGTCCCCAGCTCCGAGCGGCCAGCCCTGGTCCCGGGTGGACCCCCAGCCTTTCTCCAGCCCGGAGCCCAGGGACCTCCGCGGTGGGCGGCGCCGCGCTGCCAGCGCAGGGAAGGGCTCGGAGCCACTGGCGCCGCGGAGTCGGGCTCTCTCGCCGGCCTGTTCCCGGGAGAGTCCGGGGTCCCCAGACGCCGGCTCCTCGCCCACCTCGTGCACCCCAGAGCGCGGCTCCGCGTGCGGGTCGCGCCTACCCCCGCGAGGCCTCGGCCCTCCTGGCTCCGCCCCCCGCATTGCTCCCGGAAGCCCCGCCCGACCGCGGCTCCTGACTGACGGGCCGCTCAGCCAACCGGGGCTGGGCGGAGCCCGGTGGAGCGCGGCCAATGGTAGGTCGCGTCGCGCTGACGGACGGGCGCGGGGCGGGGCGGGCCCGGTGGAGCGCGGCCAATGGCAGGCCGCGTCGCGCTGACGGACGGGCGCGGGGCGGGGCGTGCGCGGGCCCGGCAGAGTCTTCGCCGCCCGCGCCCGGCTCCCGCAGCCCGAGCCGCACCCGCCGCGGACGGAGCCCATGCGCGGGGCGAGCCGCGCGTCCCCGCCCCCGCCCCGCCCCGCCCCGGCCCCGGCCCCGGCCCCGGGGGCAGTCGCGCCAGTGAGCGGTGAGTGCGGGCGGGGGTCGGCCGGGCCGCGCGCCCTCCCCGCCCCCAGGCGGCGGCTCTACGCGCGGCGCGGGCCGGGGGCGCGGGGCCGGGCCGGGCGGGGGCCGCGGGCGCAGGTGAGCCCGCGTCGGGGGCTGCGGGGGCGGGGAGGGGGCGGGCTCGAACCCCGTCCTCCCCGGGGCCTGCGGGAGCCCGAGCCTCGCCCGTGGCCTCGCGCTGGGCACGGTCCCCACGCCGGCGGCCCCTGGAGCTCGGGCCCGGCGCGCTTACAGCTCCGCGCGTCTGGGCGGAGGCGGCCATGGCCCGCCCGGGCATCCCGATTCAGCATCGCAGGTCGTGGGCCAGGCCGGGGCCCTCAGCCCCAGGGCCTTGCCCGCTCCCGGGCTCCCGCGCCGCCTCTCGGCCCCTGTTCCCGGGAGCCCTGCCCGTCCGTCTTCTCCAGCTTTCTTTTGCTGATGTCCGAGATCCCCGCCGGGGCGCGGGGCGCTGCCCGGGTCTGCCCTCCCCCCAGCGGCACCTGGCACGCAGTAGGCGCTCAGCAAATACTTGTCCGAGGCACCAGCGCCGCGGGGCCTGCGGGCTGGCATTGGCCTGTCCGGGCACGCCGTGGCGCGCTCCGCCGTGGCCAGACCTGTTCCGGGTACGGTAACCTCAACCCTCGGGCGCCTCCCGTTAGCCTTTCTGCCGACCCAGCAGCTTCTAATTTGGGTGCGTGGTTGAGAGTGCTCAGCTGTCAGCCCTGCCTTTGGGTGCCGGCTCCCTTTCGCCTCATTGGGTCATTAAGAGCAGGTGGGGACGAGGCGACACTCCCCACCCGCCGGGTCGCAGCCGTGCAGGTAGGCACGCTGCCGTCGTTGCTGCCACCCCTGCCGCCCGGTGTTGGGGCCCAAGGCCCTCTGTGGGTTTGCCCTTCAGATGGCCCTGCCAGCAGCTGCCCTGTGGGGCCTGGGCCTGGCTGAGCAGGGCCCTCCTTGGCAGGTGGGGCAGGAGACCCTGCAGTACCCCGGGCCGCAGGCCCTGAGGAGCGATGACGGAATATAAGCTCGTGGTGGTGGGTGCCGGTGGCGTGGGGAAGAGTGCCCTGACCATCCAGCTGATCCAGAACCACTTCGTGGACGAATACGACCCCACTATAGAGGTGAGCCTGGCGTCGCTGTCCAGGCCTCCACAGCCGCTGTGGGCGGGCCCAGAACACAGCCAGGATGGGGTGGCTGCAGCCCTTGGCCCTGCATGGTGATAGTGGGCCTGTCTCCTGCTTCCCCCAGAGGAGGGGAGCCCCTCATCTCAGCATGCCCGAGAAGGGACATGCGAGGTCCGAGGGAGGGGCTGGCAGTGTGACTCCCCCGCCGAGGAGGGTCCTGAGGGGTCCCTGAGCCGTGCTCTCCTGCAGGACTCCTACCGGAAGCAAGTGGTCATTGATGGGGAGACATGCCTGCTGGACATCCTGGACACGGCCGGCCAGGAGGAGTACAGCGCCATGAGGGACCAGTACATGCGCACCGGCGAGGGCTTTCTGTGCGTCTTCGCCATCAACAACACCAAGTCCTTCGAGGACATCCACCAGTACAGGTGAACCACGAGGCCGGCCCTTGTGGGCTGTGCCGGACGACGGGGGTCTCCTGTCTGCTCTGTGCTTGTCCTGGATCTCGCTGTGCCGGCAGCCCCCGCCAGCTCTCCCCTTTCATCTCTCAGGGAGCAGATCAAGCGGGTGAAGGACTCGGACGACGTGCCCATGGTGCTGGTGGGGAACAAGTGTGACCTGGCTGCACGCACCGTGGAGTCTCGGCAGGCTCAGGACCTGGCCCGAAGCTACGGCATCCCCTACATCGAGACCTCGGCCAAAACCCGGCAGGTGAGCCAGCTCTGCACCCTGCTGCTAGCCAGGGACTCGCCCACCCCGCCCCAGCCAGGGAGCAGCACTCACTGACCCCTCTCCCTTGACACAGGGCAGCCGCTCTGGCTCTGGCTCCAGCTCCGGGACCCTCTGGGACCCCCCGGGACCCATGTGACCCAGCGGCCCCTTGCGCTGTAAGTCTCCCGGGACGGCAGGGCAGTGAGGGAGGCGAGGGCCGGGGCCTGGGCTCACGCCCTGCAGTCCTGGGCCGACACAGCTCTGGGGAGGCAGAGGTCCTTGGAGAGAGCTGCCCTGAGCCAGGCCGGAGCGGTGACCCTGGGGCCCGGCCCCTTTTGCCCCGTAGTGTCCCACGGGCACCTGTTGGTTCTGAGCCCTTAGTGGGGCTGCCAGGGACACTGGCCGCAGCTCAGATGAGAGCTGGTGCAGGGTGGTCAAACCCTGGCCAGACCTGGAGTTCAGGAGGGTCCTGGGTCACCCTGATCATTGAGGGAATTGCTCTATAGTGATGGGGGTGGCCCTGGGGGCGTTGAGAATGCCAGAGCCCAGCTTCCTGTCTGTGTGGTGGGCCTGGGGACGTGGCTGGGGGAGTTGGGAGCATCGGGCCAGGCACGGCTTGATCCCACAGCAGGGGGCCCCCCTCGCCCAGGCAGGGGGTCCCTGGCTGGTCCCCCCTGATCCCATCCCTCTTTTCCCAGGGAGTGGAGGATGCTTTTTACACGCTGGTGCGTGAGATTCGGCAGCACAAGCTGCGGAAGCTGAACCCTCCCGACGAGAGCGGTCCCGGCTGCATGAGCTGCAAGTGTGTGCTCTCCTGACAGGTGAGGGGCTCCCAGGGCGGCCGCCACGCCCACCAGGTGGCCCTGCTCCCTGCCCCTGCTGGTCTCCCGGCCTGTGGTCAGCAGCATCCTTTGTGCCACACCCAGCACAGGCTTCAGGACGTGGAGGTGCCGGATGCAGGGAGGAGGTGCAGACGGAAGGAGGAGGAGGAAGGAAGGAAGGGCTGCTGGAGCCCAGCCACCAGGGACCGTGGGCCGAGGTGACTGCAGACCCTCCAAGGGACGCTTTGCGCAGATTGTCTTGAGCGTCCCAAACGCCACGGGAACCCCAGCCCTTAGCTCCCCTCCCAGGCCTCTGTGGGCCCTTGTCGGGTACAGACGGGAACACAGTAAATTATTGGATGGTTTTGACGCTGGTTTTTGGCTGAGGGTGGGGCGCGGCGTGCGTGGGGCGCAGTACGTCGCACGTGGGAACTTCCGGCCTCTCCAGCCTTGGGCCCTCCACTGACTTTGGAAGTGGGAGGTTGGGAGCGGCCGGTCAGGGGTCTGGGCTGTGCTGCCCTCTGCTCCACCTGCCCTGAGTGTCCAGGGAGCTCTGGACAGGAGGCAGATCATCAGGACGGAGGACTCCTGTGCTAGCGGCTAGGAGGGCGCCCTGGCCCTGCAGGGGGCGGGGGCGGGGGCGGGGGTCTGTGCCTGCGGCTGTCTACCTGAAAGCCGCCTGGGCCCTGAGAGGCGTCCCATTTCCTGACATTTTCCAACCGTGAAATGCACCTGCCGAGAATGGCAGAGGTGGGGACCCCGCCTCTGGGACCCTCATGTGCCCCACTTTTTTTGGCCCTCCCGCCTGGGGCAGTCTGTGGACCTTGGAAGCAGGACCCCAGCACCGACACTTGTCCTCAGGCCTCGCCGCGCCATCGGGGATTGGTGGTGGCCACCAGGGCGTGGGAGCCTGGCCATTCCTGCCTCCTGGAGTGGATGAGGTTGGTGGCTGGTCCGCCGTGCCCCGCCCTGCCCCGCCTGCTCCGCCTCATGGCTGGTTGCTTTGGAGTCTGGTAGCGTCACTGGCTCTGCCTTGCTGCGCACACCCAGGCTCCGGCACCCACTCTGCTCCGAGGGACCTGCCCTGTCTTGGGCCAAGTTCTCGGTCTGGCCCCAGCCACAGAGGGCTTCGTCCCCAGCGTCGTCATCCTGGCTGCTCCTGCGGGCTCGCAATGTCCCTGCTCTTCCAGGGCTCGGGTTGAAGCTGGGCCAGGCCTCTTTGGGATGGACTTCTGTCCTATCGGGGGTCCCCATCCCACAGGGTGGGGGAGAGGCCTCGGGTGTGCTGCTGCCTGGCCAGGGCTCCAGGAACACCACACTCACCCTTCTCTCCAGCAGCCTCCAAGTAACTGGCGTCCCCATCAACACTGACTTCCCAAGGCCAGGAGCCAAGTGGGGCCGTGGGGCAGCTTGCTGGGTACCGCCCAGGCCCTTTCCACAGCAAGTGTCGGTCACAGCCGGCCGAGGGGGTTAGATGCAGGTGCACCCGTGCAGCGGGTGTCTCTGGACCTGCCTCTTGGTCATTACAGGGCTGGGCAGGCCCTGGTATCAGGGTCCCGCTGGGGTTGCAGGGCCGGGCCCGTCCTGTGGTCCTGTGGTGTCTGGGGCAGATGTGGAGGGTCCAGGGCCCGGCATCCCTGCTCCATGCTGAGCTCTGGACAGCGTGGGCCCTCAACATGCAGGATCCTGGGTGGCTTCAACACGGAGTCACAGCACAGGAACTGCTGGACAGCCTAGGGTCTGTCCTGAGCTGGGGACAGGCCAGCCACACCCCCATCCTGGGGACTCGCAGAGAGCAGCCGCTGCCCGAGGCTCCACAGAAGCCCCCTCATGCCTCGGGGACAGCCCAGTCAGGCCAGGGTGTGGGAGGACCAGGCTCCCACGTGGGAGCTGACCCCTGGGGATTCAGGGGCTGTGCCGACAGGCAGCGGGGAGCCAGCTCCCTCCAGGAGGGTCTCAAGGCATGGGGATAGCTGCAGAGGCCTGGGCGCCAGGACACTCGCCCTGGTGTGGCCGAAGGGAAGGCAGGTGCAGTCAGCTTCTCCGCTGAGCCCATCTGCTCTTCAAGGGGCTGGGCCTCCCAGATCTGGGTCCCTGTGTGGCCCTCGTGGTCTGATAGGACACTCCTGCAAACTGCCGATCCCAGATGGCAAGACCGAGGGAGGGCTGTGCAGGGAAAGCCCCATCCCTGCACCCTGACCCGCAGGAGGGACCCTGCCGCCTGCCAGCGTCCGTCCAGGGTTTCTTCATTGTCTGCACTTGCCTGAGAACAGAGGGCTCCATGTCAGCCGCCCCACAGCAAGCAGCAGCGACTGCATCTGGTGTGAGCCACGGAGACCCCTCCTGCAGGGACCCATCTTCTGGAGGACTGAGGACCACTCCCTGCCCACATGGGGGCCCCATCCTGGTGGCTCTTGAGTGCCAGGCTCTGCCCCATCAGGGTCTGGGGATGTGTGTCCAGGGCAGGGCTGGAGAGGCTGGGTCGGGTCTAGTACAGGGCAGGGCTGGAGCGTGGCCAAGGTCAGGTCTGTTTGGTCTCAGACACGTCACCTGTCAAACGCGTGCATTCGTATCCACCTCACGGAGTCGCTCTGAGGTGAACGAGACGGTCATCTGCAGTCTGCGCAGAAAGGGCACCTGCTGAGTGCTCAGGTTGACCCTTGGCAGCCGTGTGGAGGTTGGCACCGGCCACTGGTGGTGACTGTCCTCATACTGTGGGGGAGGGCGGCTGTGCTGAGACGCGCCTCTTGCCTGGAAAAGCATCCTGACACAGAGCCCCTCAGACACCCACCGTATCCCCAGCTGCTCCACACACGGCGGGCACTTGGCACTGGTGACATCGTGGGGTGGCCGCACACGTCACCATGGGGTCCTGCCCAGGTCAGCCGGGCCTGGAGTCAGTGGCCTCCACTCCCTGAACTGTCTGCATGTGTGTGATGTGTATCAGTGTGTGGGTGAACATGTATGTGGTGTGTTTCCAGCCAGGCCTGGCCATGTTCATGTATGTGGGTGGACACGTGTGGTGTTTCTCCAGCTAGGCCTGGCCCTGCACATGTATGTGTATGTGGGTGGACACGTGTGTGTGGTGTGTGTTTCTCTGCAGCCAGGCCCGGCCCTGCACATGTATGTGTATGTGGGTGGACACGTCTGTGGCGTGTGTTTCTCTCCAGCCCGGCCCTGCACGTGTATGTGTATGTGGGTGGACACGTGTGTGGTGTGTGTTTGTCTCCAGCCCGGCCTGGCCCTGCACGTGTATGTGTATGTGGGTGGACACGTGTGTGGTGTGTGTTTCTCTCCAGCCCGGCCCTGCACGTGTATGTGTATGTGGGTGGACATGTGTGTGGTGTGTTTCTCTCCAGCCTGGCCCTGCACGTGTATGTGTATGTGGGTGGACACGTGTGTGGTGTGTGTTTCTCTCCAGCCCGGCCCTGCACATGTATGTGTATGTGGGTGGACACGTCTGTGGCGTGTGTTTCTCTCCAGCCCGGCCCTGCACGTGTATGTGTATGTGGGTGGACACGTGTGTGGTGTGTGTTTCTCTCCAGCCCGGCCCTGCACGTGTATGTGTATGTGGGTGGACACGTGTGTGGTGTGTGTTTCTCTCCAGCCCGGCCCTGCACGTGTATGTGTATGTGGGTGGACACGTGTGTGGTGTGTGTTTCTCTCCAGCCAGGCCCGGCCCTGCACGTGTATGTGTATGTGGGTGGACACAGAGTGCAGTGGTGTGACTGTAGCTCCCTGCAGCCTCAACCTCCCTGGCTCAAGTGATCCTTCTGCCTCTGTCTCCTGAGTAGCTGGGACGATAGGTGTGCACCAGCATGCCTGGTTACATGGCTTTTGATTGTTTTGAATAGACGGGGTCTCACTGTGTTGGCCAGCCTGGTCTGAAACTCCTGGCCTCAAGTGATCCTTCTGCCTCAGCCTCTGTAAGTGCTGAGATTACAGGCGTTGAGCCACTGTGCTCAGCCCTTTGCTCATTTGTAAAACTGGTTTGTTTTCTTGTTTTTTAATTTTGGTTGTTTTTAATGGGGTGTTTTCGAGGTTTGTTTTTTTTTTTTTTTGAGACAGGGTCATGCTCTGTCACCCAGGCTGGATTGCAGTGGCGCCGTCTCGGCTCACTGCAACCTCCGCCTCACGGGTTCAAGCGATTCTGGTGTTTCCGCCTCCTGAGTAGGCGGGACTACAGGCAGGTCTTGATTCGGTTTTGTAGCTAGGTACCTTTTTTTATTTCTGACAAGTTCCTTTGAATTTTCTCTTTCTTTTTTTTTTTTTTTTTTTTTTTTTTTTTTTTTTGAGACAAAGCCTTGCTCTGTCGCCCAGGCTGGAGTGCAATGGTGCGATCTCAGCTCACTGCAACCTCTGCCTCCCGGGTTCAAGCGATTCTCCTGTCTCAGCCTCCTGAGTATTTGGGATTACAGGCGCGTGCCACCATGCTGGGCTAATTTTTGTATTTTTAGTGGAGATGGGGTTTCACCATGTTGGCCAGGCTGGTCTCCAACTCCTGACCTCTTGATCACCCACCCCAGCCTCCCTAAGTGCTGGGATGACAGGTGTGAGCCACCGTGCCCGGCCCCCAGATTTTTTTTTCTCATGAGGTATTTTATTTGTAAATACATGTATTACATCCCTAAAAAAAGAATCCAGGATTTTCCCTCCTGTGTGTTTTCATCTTGCTGCTGCTTGGCCCGTGAAGCCAGCTCAGTTTGTCAGTGCAACGAAACCAGACTGGCGGCCGGTGGCCGACGATTCTGGCATTTTCCTAGGTCTCTCTGAGCCGCACACCAAACGCAGGGCCCATCATGCCACGCTTGTTTAGCCTGCCTGTGAGGTTCACAACAATTTTCCCAGCTCTGTGATCGTCCGTGATTTCAGATTCGCCAGTGTAACCACGCTTCACCATCACAGTGAGAAACCGGACGATGACTCTGGAGCTCAGCCTAAGAAGCACCTGGCATTTGCCTCGCTTTTCAGCACCGCTGACGCTCTTGAGAGCTTCAGCCAGGACACTCACGTGCCCCACTGTGGCTGAAACTGCAGGATGGCGCCAATGACGGACGAAATCGGGGCTCTCGGAGAGGGATACTCACCCCCAGAATGTTTTTTTTTCCTTTTTTTTTTTTTTGAGACGGAGTTTCGCTCTTGTTACCCAGGCTGGAGTGCAATGGCGCGATCTCGGCTCACCGCAACCTCCGCCTCCTGGGTTCAGGCAGTTCTCCTGCCTCAGCCTCCTGAGCAGCTGGGATTACAGGCACGTGCCACCACGCCCAGCTAATATATTTTTTTTATTTTTAGTAGAGATGGGGTTTCACCATGTTGACCAGGATGGTCTCGATCTTTTTTTTTTTTTTTTTGAGACGGAGTTTCACTCT